GTTCATTGTTTGCTCATAACTGGAGTCACTTAATAATGCAGATTTATGCTACAAGCTTTTGCAGAATTGTACAGTAAGAAAGTTATTTCCTTTAACCAGGAAATTAACGTTCTTAGAATTGACAAGACAGTTGACCCTGAGAGGTCAGCTAAATATCTACAGCGGATCTAAAATATTCATAATTAATTAAAACTAGTTATGATTAATTATATTTCCCATGAGCTGATTCGTTACACTTACTTGGAGAGGGCTGATCATGACGAGAGCTTGCTGAGCCTCACTAGTAGCTGTTCAGTTGACAAAACTGAAAAAGGCCATCATGCAGCTGCTCTGTTTCTACCTGACAACATAACAAAAGAGAATGTGTGAGTGAGTGGAGGGAGTAAAGGACTAAGATGAAGAGAAACAGGCAGAAAAAGGCAGAATTTTGTGTTTAAGTTTAACAAAATGAGAGGAAAGAAAAAGCTGTATCTTCAAGCTATATTAATATGAAGTATTTTAAACATGATTACATGCTAGCAGGATTGTTGTAAGCAGTTTAAAGACCTCAACTGTTTAACATTTATTGACACAGAGGAACAAAATCATTGGAATACATTTTCAAGCTGATGAACAATAAAAACAGTCAATCAGAATCCATCTGACTTTAAATAGCTTGAGCATTTAAAGTGGCAGACAACAACATATCTGCATAGTATTGTTTACTATTGCATAGTAAACTGTATTATGTTGTAGCATGTTCAAGCATGTTGTGTTATAGATAACAATGTGCTTAATGTTAGTGTTGCACTGTATTCATTTTTGTGTTGCGAACTGTTATTGGATGTTCAAGTTGGATGTGAAAAGAGGCTCCGCCCCTGTGTGTGTGTAAGGGGAAAGAGAGAGAAGGAGGGGGGAGAATGAGTGCCTCGCTGGTTCAAGTACGGTTCTCTTAGAAGTCGGGGTGTGTACGGCGTGGGTTGTGACAGACAACAGCCCAAATAAACACCCCTTGTACCTCGTCCTTGTCTGAGAACGCTACAATATAATAAACATAACTGTATCGTCTGTTGGTGTTGCTAAAATAGTTATTATAGTTAATGTTCTTGGTGTGAACAGCCTTAAGTGATCTAATTTGGCCAAATTAACTGAAGATCTGATGTGTCACATGACGTTAAACTATCATTTCCAGACTTGCTTTTTGGACAGATGTATTCAATAAAAATCAACATGGAAAGAAAGGCAGACTCTGAGGTGTGGACAGATATCATGTACTGTTAGAACGGGAAGTGACAGCGCCAATTTGTAAAGGCTAATAAAGAATACAATGGACTCAATATAAACTTTATGATACAAACACTCTGACTAATTACAATGGGCACAATCAGGGCCGCTGCTGGCCAAATGGGTGCCCTAAGCAGGATTGTATTGTTGTGCCCCCCTTCCTCAAATATTATGGAAGTAAAAAAAATAATAGAACAAAACACTTACTATAGGGGTCAAAATAGAACTTTAATAAAATATAAAAGTAAATAAATTGTATTATTAACAAATTACAATTGTAGATCTAGACAGTTACCTATGGCTATGACTTTATTAATACAGTTGTCTAATTAATTTTATAGTCTCAAGCATTCAGAAATCACGCAAAAAAAGAAGAAGCTATGATAAAACCATGGTTTATTTTTGTAAGGGTTGTGATGTCCACATGTTTTTTGTTGAAGAAATTATAGAGGCTGTGTCATCTAAAGCAAAAAGCTTGCCAAAAATGAAAGATTAAGTGAATATTTGAA